TTTGGGTATTGCTGCTCCACCATCGTCATCGTCGTCGTCGTGTAAGAGATGACCCCATGCAATTGCTCGAGGGCACATATCTGGGACGGCGCCGGAGATTGCATTGAGGCTTGTATATTCGCCTCTAAACATGGCTGCTTCTTCTGGCAACGATGACGACGGGGCGGATGAAGATATCTTCACGAAGAAATGTTTCTCTTGGTCGGCCTTGTCTCCATCCTTGTTTGTACTGGGAATTGAAGCCTTAAGGTGGCCTGTTTGTGCGAACCCTGACCCTCCATGTGGCGTGAAGGACGTTCCGGACCCATCTAACGGCAGCGAGAGGGCCTTGAGGATAGACTTGGGAGCTTGACTAGCGGTACGAGGCATGATTGCTTAACCTTTTTTTGGTACTTGTCTGCCTTGCGGTGTGGGCTGCTGTTTTATATTCACACTTTGATACTGGGGGAGGTTGTTTCATCCAAGTCTTAATCCTGTTTACACCCTTGGAGATAACTATATGAGCTCATCGCCCGCCAGGCCTCTATCACGTGTCGCATCAACATCTAATGCAACCCCCTGAGTGGTGATGGGGATGGTAGTTTGAAATGAAGAGGGTTGGGTTGTTTGTAAAAATGTATTCTACACGTTATGAAGTGTAAAGAGTGATTAAAACTAGATACATCATCATGAGAAAATAAAATGCTAGACAGCAGTTTACTGACCCAAGAGCGCCTTCATCCAATCCAAAGCCGTTTTCGTCCGTTCTCTAACATCAGATTCACTGTCGATCTCCAAACTACTCAGGCGTTCCATAACTCCTAGGCTCTTCAACCTCATGGCACGCTCTACCCGGCTAGCTCGGTCGGTCTTATCATCGTCGAGCGTAAGGTTGATCACTATCCAGACGCAATTGGCTCGAATCTGCCAGTTAGAGTGGCTTAGCAGGGCCATGGTGAGTTTGAGCAGGTCTTGGTGGAAGACTAGTAGGTGGCGATGTCGTGAGACGCCGGCGGCAATGTGGATAAGAACGTAAGTCACTGCGCGGATTATCTCGGTAGGGTGGAGTATTGATTTTTGGTGTGAAGAGGCTGTTGGCTTGTCCTTGAAGGCAGCCATAGAAGCACTGCTGGTGGGAAGAGGTCTTGTGCGGAGTTTGCTTGCAAGGATATCTAGGAAGTCCGTTTGGCCGAACTTCTGGAGGAGATAATCGATCATGTCGGGCGCTCCTGGGCCACACATGATGTTTCGTAGCAGATCAAAGAGCTCCTCCTGTGCTAGCGTATCATCTTGGCGTAGCTTCTTGGTCTGGTCTAAATCTCCATTCAAAGCCAATCTGCGTTTGCGAAGGTTTTCGGCAGATAGTGCATCAACGGGAGATTTCGCGGGTATCGCACCGTCGGAAATCCGGGTATCAAAGTCCATCATAGGAGACTCTGATTCCTGATCACTGGTTATCACTGGGTTGAGAATATCCACCTGTTCGCCAAATGAATTCGACGTGCCCATCTCTATGAATGAGGATGGTAACTCGCTCGCAATATCCTCTTGTCGCCTCCTGGCATTAAGGGGATCGTTGGGGTCGTGGGAAAGAACCTGCTTGATCCATTCGATGCCAAGAGCCTCTAATATATCTTTCTTCATTTTGTTCGGCACATTATAGGAGATATGTTTGAGAGACCAGAGGGATTCTATTCTAAGATTTGCGTTAGACGAATGGGAGTTTTCACACAATAGCGGTACCATATTTGCCTCAAGCAGAGCCTGCATGCACATATGTTAGCCTGATCGGTTATCATTCATAAAAAGGGGGGCAATTTCTTTGCTAGACCATGGAGTCTATACATACCTCCTTCATTGGACTGAAGTCAAGGGCCAAGTTACACATTACAGATGTAGCCGCAATCTGTATCTCGATATTACTAGATTTAACCAAGGCACATATTGGCGTAGCAATGCCAGCATCGATCAAGCTTGTTCTAAGCACGCTAACCGATCGAGTCAACGATCTGGCTGCGGCACAAGCTGCAAGTATAACTGGTGTTGTGTTCCCTTCCAATTCAGTAATGCAAGTCTTGTTTCCTAGAACCGTTGTTTCAGGATTCCAGGGCTTCATCGAATCAATGATATGCTGAACAACACCATGGTCACATATCGCCTTTCTGTAATCATCATTAACCAGGGCCAGCGCAGCTAGAGCTTTGAGAATAGCTTCTCGGTATTTTATCTTAGAGAGGGCCTGGCGAGTAAATCCCGGAGGTCCCAAAGCCACGTCTGACTCGGTTGACTGAACTAGGACAGTGGCGGGTCTCTTAGTTGCGCTCCACATGGGAGTGCCGGCTTCAGAGGTCGGCCCAAACGACTCTTTCAGCATCTGGGCAAGTTTCTTGATAGCACCGCTATCGACGGCATATCTTTGCAGCTCGCGACTCTCCATGATCAAGGAGGCTAGGACAGCAGGAGCTTCCTCTTTAACGCGCAGGTGGCTGGAGTTCATGTAACTATTTTTGGTGGAGGAGTCTTCAGCATGGTGAGCACTGTCGA